AATTCAAGAAAATGAAACAGTTGAAATTATTAAGCCTATAGATATAAGGTGAAATTCTTTTTACAATGCTTTAGTTCGACTTTATAAATTAAAAAATTCAATTAAATGGTTAGCTAATAACTTAGAAAATAGTAATTTATCAATTGATGTTCATGATTTTAATATTATGGATCAACTTTTACCCACTTCAACAGAATGGAAAACCATTCAAGATTTAATAGAATTATTAGCTTCTGCTGAACAAGCAACAAGATTATTAGGAGGAGAAAATTATATAACATTAGCTCTTACTGCTCCAATAATTGATGAAGTTATACGTAATTTTAAAAATATAAAATCAAAAAATACTACTATTACAAATACTACAATTTCAAATATTTGTAATACTATTTTGAATGATCTTGAAACAAGATGGAATATTCCAAATAATTATGGATTAACTGCATCATTTTTAGATCCTAGATTTAAAAATTTAACTTTTTGCTTACAAGTAAGTATATATCTTTTTAATTAAAAATAATATATATAATATTTAACTTTTTATATAATTTATTATTTAGAATACACGTAATATTATACATGACAAAATTAAAAAAGAAATTGAAGAAATTGTAAATTTGTCATCTGATGAAATTCAAAGTTCATTAGAAACAGATCCAACATCTTTAATATCATCTTTTTTTTCTCATCTTTCTTCAACTTCTAATCAAGAATTTAGAACTAATTCAAATGAATTTGAACAATATTTACAAATGAAAGAGTTATTAATGCATGAAAAAAGTGATCCCTTAATTTGGTGGAAAGCAAATTGTAATTCATATCCTAATTTATCAAAATTGGCACAAAAATATTTATCAATTCCTGCAACATCTGTACCATCTGAAAGATTATTTTCAGATGCTGGAATTCATGTAACTTCTCTTAGAAATAGGTTAAATTCACATTTAGTCAATCAAATTCTTTTTATTAAATGAAATAATACATATGTAGAAATGTTTCCTTAATAATCATAATTTTTAATATTAATTTATCAATTTTAAATGTTAATTTTGATTTAATATTAATTATATTTTAAATAAAAATATTATCAAATTAATTTAATATGAAAATTTTAAATTTGTAATTGCATTATTACATAATAAACTTTGTTATTTAATTAATACCAAAATTGAATGTTAAATAAATATTTTATTTAAAAGAAACAAACATTTATTTCATCAGGAAATTTTATTAGGCAAAAATTTATACAAATTTCAACACTTGCACAAGATTTTTGTATGTTTTTTCTATTTTTTGACTTCGCTCGCAATTTGCGAGGCACAGAGAGATTTTTTACTAAGGTATTTCTAAGATAGATAGATCGGCATCGTTCTTAGCTACAAAAAGATATGTATTTCATCCCTGTAGCTTCGATATTCGTGGCGATCGCTCGGTTTAAAGAAAAACAATTGTAAAAAAACCATGCAAAAATCTGTAAATAATCATTGAATATTTGTGAATAATCATTGAATAATTGTGAATAATTGTTGAATAATCACGAATAATTGTCGAATAATCGTTGAATAATCGTTGAATAATCATTGAATAATCGTGAATAATCATTGAATAATCATGAATAATCGTCAAATAACTGCAAATAATCATCAAATAATTGTCAAATAATTGCCAAATAATCGTTGAATAATTGCCAAATAATCGTTGAATAATTGCCAAATAATCGTTGAATAATTGCCAAATAATTGTGAATAATTAATGATTATTCACGATTATTTGTTGATTATTCATGACAATTAATCGAGTCTAAATATTAAGATGATTCCTAACCCTACTTACATTGACATTGGCCACACTGGTCATATTTAAACTTAGAAAAAAAAAGAAATTTTCAAAATCAACACCGATTATTATCCATCCAAAATATCAATCGAGAATATCATCCAACAAGAACCAATTTAATTGTTAAAAGTTCTTACAATAATTGTTCCATTATCAATGAATCAAAAACTGTAACAATTCCCTCACACCTCAGAACTGCTGCTCCATTTTTTTTAAAAAAATTATCAAATCAATATGATGATACAAACTTATGGATTATCATAAATATTCTATACGATGACCATGGCTGAAGATAAATGGCCACAATTATGTGAAATTTTATTATCAACTGATAATCACGATCCACTACCTACTAACCAATCACTACACATTTACATATTCTATCATAATTTTTTAAATAATATTTGTAATAAATTATAGAAAAATCCTGATCTAGCCAGTTGTGGAAAATGGGAACACTTTTTCGAACGAGATGAATTCCAAAACAGAAAAACAATTCATACACACGGATTTGCCTATGTTGAAAAAAAAACTCAAGAATTAATTTCTTTAAATATGATTCGAACAGATGTCCCCGATCCCCTTATAGAACCCGACCTACATCATTTGGTTATCATGTTTCAAAAACACCATTGTAATCATAGATGCAGAACATATGACTCCACGGATGAACAGTGTTCTAAAGGATTTCCTCAACCATTATCAGAAAAGACATATTGCTCACCAAATAACTTACGTTATATCTACCGTCATACAAAACAAGAAGATCAAATGATCATTCCATACCATCCCGAAACACTATTAATCTGGAGAGGGCATATAAATTTTCAATATATTACAACTAACGGATTTGCCAAATATATAACAAAATATGTAACCAAACCTGAACCCTCCGAACTTTTTGATATCTCCGAAGAAGATAGTTACAGAAGACATATTACAGCTCGAAGACTAGGTGCTATGGAATTAATAATTCTCTTACTACAATACCCTTTAACAAGATGTTCAATCTCAGTACTATATCTTCCCTCCGCACCTTCCGAATTCAGATATAGATCTGTCAAACCAATTCATCTATTAACCGAAATAGATGATGACAACAATGATGATGAACTTCCCTACTGGGATGATGCAATTGAAAAATATTATGACCGTCCGGATCATCCACACTTTCACTTGATTACATATCCTAATTACTTTTGTGATTACACCATTCGATCCAAACAACCAAGTCAAAATTCAAACTTATTCTATTGCTGAGACCACAAAAACAGAATAATTGTTCAATGAAAAACACCAATATTATTAAGATTCACCACTTACAAAATAGAAGATGGAGAACCTTTTTTCTTTCAACATCTTATAATGAAAATTCCCGTGAGATCTGAACAAGAATTACTTGGAAAATTTGAGACATACAAAGATATATTCTGAACAATGTTTCCTACAAGATACAACCAAGTAACTGAATCACTTAAAAAAAGCTACATAGAACAAAGAAATTGCTTATCGGAATCATACAAATCCATATTAACAACCCTTTTACACAACTTTCAAAATTAAGACTTATCGGACCTAATGTTTAATCAATTCCTTTCACTAAAAAAACATTGTCCCAACCTAGACTCCCAATTCTTACTAACTCTAGACACCGAACAATACAAGATCTACTCTACACTATCTAACGTATGGAAAAATCAACTGATGGAAAGTATCCGTACTTCTTTTTAACAGGTCCAGCTGGAACTGGTAAAACACTCCTAATGCACCAATTAATTTTCTCCCTTCAAACAAAAAATAAAAAATACCTACTAATGGCATCTACTGGTGTTGCGGCTCATAATGTTGGTGGAAAAACATTACACTCATTATTAAAAATCCGATTTCGTGATGGAAGATATGAAACTTTAATCCACCTCAACGAAGAAGATGAAACTAACCTAAAAAAAATAGAAACAATAATGATAGAAGAAATCCCAATGGTCGATGGAGATTTGTTCACTTTTATTAGTAATATCTTTGCCAAAATTCATAACAACAACATCGTATTTGGAGGAATACCAACTCTGGTGATAGGAGACCTGGCCCAACTACCTCCTGTAAAACCGAAATATGTCTTTCAATCCCCAGCTTGGTCACCATTCTTTCCCTTATTTTTAACCACACCCAAACGCCAACGGGAAGATATTGAATTTTATAATGTTCTTCAAGAAATACAAACAGGTCACCTATCAAGAAGAACAAAAGATATTATTCAATCAAAAATAAACACAAATAATGACCCAGAAAAATTCTACAACACTACTCATATTGTCAGCACCCGCCAAGCCGCATTCAATATAAATCAACTCCTATGTAGCTACCTCCCATTCGACCACACAACAAGTGAACCTCTCACCTCAACATCCGAAGATACCCTGGACTTTGAAAACCTAACCGAAACCAACTTGTCCCCCCACTTTAAACACTCAACAAATCTACCCCACATAACGTACTTACAAGAAGGTGCACGTGTCATGTTCCTAAATAACAAGCTTTTCGATGAAGATATTTGCAATGGATCGATTGGAATCATAACAAAAATTATCGATAACAAAATATAGAAGTAACTTTCCCTACCTTCACAAACTTAAGCAAAGTCGTCGTTCAAAAAGAAACTATCTATTTCAATATAGATGGAAAACACGCATCGAGAAAACAATTCCCACTACAGAATGCCTTTGCCCTCACCGCACATAAGGTACAAGGTTTAACATTACCTCATGTAACCACTTCCGTTGACGAAACCTTATTTGCCGAAGGTCAAGCCTACGTCGCGATGAGCCGTGCAACTTCATGGCAGAATCTCCGAATCATAAACTTTGACTATAACTACTTAAAAATCACCGAGGGCCGCTCTGAACGAATACAAAAGGTTAAATATGATACATGCCAGGGGGTTCCAAAATTTAAAATAAATCTTTAAACTTGTAAATCCTTTAAATAACACTCTCTTTATCCAATAAACTTTATCATTTTTTATTAATAAATAATTTACATTACTACCCGTGACCAAAACTCACCGTACTTTGTACAATCTAAATCTTGTTACACTCACGAAACACGAATTTGCAAAGCCTTTAGTATAACTAAAGAAAATAACAAATAATGACTTTATTGATAGTATGTAGATAATATTTTTTTAACGCTAAATTACAATGTAAAAGGCCAGCCTTTTGAAATTTTGATATAAAATATAATTGGCAAAATTAACTTTAGATATTGCTAAAGGGATCGCGTGTAATAGAGGAGGTGAATGCCTATCTGAAAGATATATTAATGGTAAGACACCAATGCTTTGGAAATGTGCTAAAGGGCATGAATGGTCTGCTAAACTTAGTCGTGTAAAAAATGATAAAACATGGTGCCCAATCTGTGCAGTTGAAAATCAGCGTACTCAAACGATTGAGGATATGAAGAAATTTGCAATAAAAAAGGGAGGTTCTTGTCTTGCAACAGAATATATTAATATGCATGATCCTCTCAAATGGCAGTGTAAAGAAGGACATAGATGGAAGACTTCAGCAAATAATATTTTTAATGGTATTTGGTGTCAAAAATGTAGAACACTAGTTCAAAAAAATTTATATACCAGTTCGGATCTAGACAATTACAATACAATATTGATATAGCACAAAATATTGTACAAGAGCGAGGTGGCAAATGTCTTTCTACAAAATATGTTAATTCGGAATTTCAAATGCTTTGGAGTTGTGCTAAAGGGCATGAATGGACCGCACCTTTTGCTAGAATAAAAAATAAAGGTAGATGGTGTGCACAATGCGCTAGAAACATTCCTTGTGGTCTCACGGAAGCCAAGGAAATCGCTTACAGTAGAGGAGATATGTGTCTTTCTGCAGAATTTATAAATCTCAATGTTCCGATGCAATAGATGTGTAGTAAGGGCCATAAATGGGTTGCCAATTTTAATAGTATTAAGCATGTTAAAACTTGGTGTTCATATTGCTTAAATAAGCATGAAAACTTATGTCGTGAAGTCATAACTAATATTCTTGGCCCACCTTCTGGCATCCGCCGACTAGACTTCTTAAACATCCTCAAGGACTAGAACTTGACATCTACTGTCCACAGTATGGATTTGCTATAGAAGTACAAGGTAAGCAACATGAGCAACATATAAAACATTTCCACAAAAATGAGAAGCAATTAATACGTGATCAACTCAAGAAAGAATTATGCGAAAAAAATTGGATCGTTTTAAGGTATGTTTGGAACTACGAAGACCCATATATAGTTATTACAGAGCATCTTCGAGAATTGGGTCTTATTGAATAATGTTAAACTTTAAATGTGCATTACAGACCACAGGAAATTTTTAAAACCGCCACGCGCCAGAAATTTTATACTTAGAAAGAATGTTGTATTACATTTATTACAAAAGTTAAAAATCGGGAGCAATATGCGCATCACGGTGATCCAACTTTATTTTTTTTTTACTTGAATTTCTTTCCTTTGAATTATTTCTTTTTTTCCTTGGAGTGTTAATACAATCAGCAAAAAATTTAATTGGTGCGGGTGGCGGTGTAGAGTATTGCTCGTCTTCATTTAATTCTTTTAACAAATCACATGATTCATCATCATCATCATCGTTCAGAATATCCAGAACTTGTAGGTTGTTCTTAATGATAATCTGTGAAAATAATTAGAATATGGAAGAGAAATAAAGAATAATTTCAATAAGCTTTTTATACCTTATACTGATTTATCTTTGCTAGAAATTTAAGGAAGGAATTTAATCCTTTTTTTGAGAATTTGCTGGATAAGTTGAAAGATTTGGGATCTTTTCGAAAAATGCAAATTGATCCTCCGGCACGCCATAGTCTTACAAATTGAACCCATAACCCAAGGTGCAAGATACCAATTACTTGAAGTTTGTCCGCTCTTTGGTCATCATAATTTATAACTCTTATTAAATCCGCATACATGTCTCGAAGAGTCTTTGGCATTTTGAATGTCTCATTAAGATATTTATTATCAGAAACACCTGTAAAAGACCTTGCACCTTCTATGGCCCCAAATTCGAGAAGTCCATCAGCTGTATATATTATTCCATCGATTTTTCGACCAGTAAGCTTTCGTGTACGTGTATTTGCTCGATTACGATTTTTCCGGTTGGCACTACTTAATGATGGTGCATCGGTCCTATAAACAGTTATAAGTCTGTATTGTATTAAAAAAAAAATGCAAGTTGATGATAATTTATTGTTTATGCTAGTGGAAAATAGTTAACCTTTTAATGTCAGTTCCCAATCGAATGTCCCTAAGACAAAAATCAATACACATTCCAAGAAGTGCAACCGTAAACCAATCTTCGTATTGTGTTCTTATTAGAGGGGCATCTATGTTTTCGTATAGATTTACAAGTGTTCGAATGGCCAATTGGATCCATTCTTTATCATAATGTTTACGAATGTCATATTTTTCTTCTTCAAGATATGATGTCATTGTTTTTGTACGTAAGTCTTCTAAAGTACTATTTCCATATCTGGCCAACTCTTTTGTAATTTCTTGTGAAATAGGTGGAACCCCAATTCGATCCTTGGTTAATTCCTTCCATTCCGAATCAGTAAATAAAGCCTTGATGTCCTCATCATCAAAGTCCACAATGTAGGAATGGGCATGGCTAATATATATCAGAATCATGAATAATAAACTAAAAGAATTTAAATTTCAATAAACTTACTGCTCGTAGTCCATGTCTTTGGCAAATTCGAAAAGAACATCCTCCACTATTTTGCCTGTACTTAATTTCAACTTCGTAGTGTTCGGGATAGAATCGTGAGCCTTACAAAAAGCCACCTTGTCAACTTTTGGGAGATCATCCTCGTTTTCATAATTGTTCTAAGAATTAATGTAGGAAAAAAACTTTATTTCCTTGTTTCCTTCTACTTGTAAATATGAATTTTGGATAACATGAACTTACATTGCAATCCAAATCGTCATTATCCTCAGATGCATCAGAAGTTGATTCATCAGCGTCACTTGTATTACAAAAAGAAATAAAATTGCTGTCTAAGAAAATTGAAAAGGAATTCAGCGATTCGGACGCAGAAAAGGAGTTCAGCGATTCAGATTCAACCTAAAAAGGAATACATCAATTAACAATTGGTTGCCATGAATAATAAAAATTCACTTTAATGTGAAGGCCATACTTTATCCTCCTCATCGCGTGTTTTGTTTCCTATTATTTTTGATTCCCGAAGTTTTTCGATAAAACTAGTTGACCTTTGATCAGAGGGATCTTGGAAAAAAGTGTCAACTGAATCCTACAGAAATATAAAGATTAGTATCATGTTTATGAATATGGCACAAAAAAATATTAGTAGTAATAACTCTACCGATTCTCAAAAAAAAAATGCATATCTGTACCTTTCTCTGATCTATTTTTTCGGTGTTGATATTACCGTTTACATTCCCGATTACATTTCCTACATTTCCCTTAATCGGTTGGTTAATGTTAACCTGTCTCTTCGAGCGTCTCTTCTCCCATTCAGTTGCTTTTTTACGGTCAGGACCCTAACATAAAAATTCAGAGAATTAATAATAAATCCTAGGCTAATATTTTAATCCCACCAGAACATAGCCCGCCTAGAAAGCCAACTTTGTCCCAGTGGGTCCAGTACTGGATCGGCTAGAAACCTTTTGCATCAGATAACCTAGAAAGTCACCGGTGCGCCAGTACTGGTTTCGTGGCTTGGCTAAAAACCTTGAATGACCGGCAACCTAAAAAGCCTCCGTTCACGCCACTTTTTTCTTTCAATAAAAAAGATTAAGTTTTCACTTGCATTTTTAAATCTGTCGTGAAGAAATTGTGCTCTTTCAGCTCTTTCTCCTTGCTCATGATTAGCGATGGCTTCGAGACCTTTTGTATAACTGTCCACCTTTGCGTCAAACGGCTCGATATCACATTCGTATAAAAAATCAAGGACATCCCAAACCGTAGGAATCCTTTCGAAGTATTTGTGAATTTTATACATCTCGATACGCGAGAAAATAATTTTATGTTAATGTTAAATGTGATGGATTACGTTCAAGTTTATATTATGATTACATGGGGTTGCCCCCTTGGAACTCTATGTCACATGTAGTCACGACACATAAAATCGAGGATCCTTAACCTGTGCACCCCGTACAGGTTTTTATCCTGTGTTCGAATTTCATTGGTTCATAACTTTGCAGGTGATCTGATTAATTTCACGTGTAAGTTTCATGTGACAAATTTTGGGTGACAAATATAGATGGCGCCGAAATTAGGCCAGAATTACGGCATTACGGCAGCCGAAAATATTTGAGGCATTACCTTTCAAAATCCAAAAAATGCCGAAATAATTTCGGCTGCCGTTATTATTTTCGGCTGCTGTTATTATTTTCGGCTGCCGTTATTATTTTCGGCTGCCGAAATTATTTAGACTGCCGAAATTATTTGATTGGTCAAAATTTGTGCCATAACCATTTTATTTTTATTACAATAGATGGTTGGGTCAGGTGATCTGTGGTACAAAAAAAATTTCTGCGGATCCCACGAATATCACACTACCAAATAAACAAATAAAATTGTTTTAATACTATTTTTTATGTCTACATATTAACTTCTATTTTTATTGAGTTTTAACATAAATAATAATAGGTTTTCCCTTTGATTTCAGCAATTATAGTTTCTTTTTTTTGATTTTGGTAATTACAAGTTTACTAAATTGGCTATTTTTACTATAGATTGGTAGAATTAAAAATAAACCAAAATTATAAGATATTTCAAAGTTTAGGAAAGTTAGCAGGAGTATTGTGATGTTTATTTTATTGTCTCTTTGTGCATACAGGTACTAACTACTGTTTTTTGATTATTTTTAGATCAGTTTTTATAATTAAATCAGATGGCACAATATTGTTTATAAATCTAAAGTCTAGATTCTATACAAGAAAGAAAAGTAATTTCAAGGTTTAGAAGGAATTTATAAAATTAAAGGTAGGTATACTTTGTTTGTTTTATTATTTCTACTAGTTTTCAAGTAGTTGGATCAAGTTTTTATTATTTTTAGAAGACCTAGATTATTAAATTGGCTGATAATTATGTATCAGGAAATTTTTTTTAGTGAAAACCTTTGAAAGTTAATATTAACATAAGTATTTTGCTGTTTTTTGATATGTTATCCTTCGAAGGTCTTCACTAACCTTTAAAAGTTATTAATTTTAATATTTTCACGTGGTAAAATTTTGCGAATATTATTATTTTCGTAATAAATTTATATCAATTTTGATATTTTCATATGTGAAATTTTACAAATATTATTGTTTTTATAATTAATTTGTATCGATAACCTTCGAAGGTTATTGATTTTGATATTTTCATATGCAAAATTTTGCAAATATTATTATTTCGTAGTAATTTCATATTGACAACTTTCGTTTATGTTAGATATTCATAATATATCATTTTAATGGTCATCACTTGTATTTATATTACTACAATTTTCCTTCGAAGTTTATCGCAGCAATTTTAATTGACATTGTATTGTTAACAATGTCTTTCAAAATTTATTGCAATAATTTTAATTGACATTGCACTGTCAATGATATACTTCGAAGTTTATCGCAACAATTTTAATTGACATTGTATTGTCAACAATATTTTTCGAAGTTTATTGTAACAATTTTAATTGATATTGTATTGTTAACAATATCTTTCAAAGTTTATTGCAGCAATTTTAATTGACATTACACTGTTAACGATATCCTTCAAAGTTTATTGTAACAATTTTAATTGACATTACACTGTCAACAATATCCTTCGAAGTTTATTATAGCAATTTTAATTGACATTATATTGTTAACAATATCTTTCGAAATTTATTGCAACAATTTTAATTGACATTGCACTGTCAACAATATCCTTCAGATGTTTATTACAACAATTTTAATTGATATTGCATTGTCAATAATATTCTTTGAAGTTTATTGTAACGAAATTACATTGTTAACAATATCTTTTGAAATTTATCGCAACAATTAAGGTTAGTATTTATGTTCACTGAATGTAATTATATTATTGTTATAATTTTATTAGATATCATATTGA